GCTAGCTAACTCTTTTTTGTGTTTCAGAGTATGGTCAGTAACAGCCGCAAACGGATGGACTTGCCCGAGAACTTTGGAAAAAGGGTATCTAGGAAGCGTCCCACACAAGCATTACTGGAAAGGTGGGGATTTTTGATTTTAGACAACCTACTGCTCGTGCTGAGCGCACTGTAATTACAAAACTAAATAACCTCCAGGAAATCTAGACATCTACTCTTATACAATAGGCTGCAACGCTTAACAATCCCGAAGTTGTTCAACGGGGCATTCTAGATTTTTAAAAGTGCACACGCAAACGTACTACATGCTCCGCCTCCTCAAACTTTTCATTGACCTCCTCAAGGGCTTTTTTCAACTGTTCTGGGCCTTTTGGGTCGGTTCTCGATTCGTTGTCAGCGCATGTAGCCGAGGCCTGCAAGTGTAGTATTACGTAAGAACTGAGAATTACTCATAACTGTACATAAACTCTCTGTATAAGTCGGGATGAACATACGACATATATTTTAATTAGGAAGTGGTCAAAGCTGTCAGAGTAAAGAATTCCATAGATGTCGGAGGAAAAAAGTCCCGAGTTTGACCTAATTAACAGACTATAAATGAAACATGGTGGTAAAATTCAGCCTCGGACTGTGGTAAAATTGAAAGCAAGCAGTATAAACATGTGAAAGAGAATCTGTAGTTAATATACCTGTCCAGAGGTTTTTCGTAATGCCTCCTGCAGACTTTCATTTTCAGCTTGTAAAGTTTTGTAAGCGGCGATGATATCTGAAGGACTATGATGCGTAGGAGAGCAAGTACCTTTTAATTTTGTTTCGTATCGTTTGAGTTTAGTGGCCTGGTTTTGAAGGATTTCCACTTCAGTCATAGTCCTACAGAAGAAAGGAAGGGATGTGGTTAATGGGAGAACTAAGCAAACCGAGACTGGATATGAGGTCTCGTCCTCTGAAGCTAAGACATTCCTTTAAAAATAAGGCTTACTCCAACCTTCATAAGGCGCGCAATATCGACGAGCATGCCACGGACTGCCCACCCTATCCGATCTTATTATAAAAACGAGCAAGCAACAAGCTCTGAACAATGCGGTAACTCAGTGGAAAGGGTCCGAATGAGCTAGCGAATCTGCAATAAAAGAGCAATTCGTGGGAGGTGGAAAGGTGGCCCCTTGGCTTATTTTTAGACATAGATATTGGTCCTGAGCAGGACACCCGTGATCGAGGATACTCCATTCTGGTTTATTCACGTTTAAAACAGAGTTCAGGGACGGCAGCATCCCACCGGTGCTGACAGATAGGTGAGGTGGTCACGCGGCAATTAACTAAATAAATCGCGCAAAGACACTTAGTGACGTTTCAGGAACGCTCGTTTAGGAGAAGGAGATGAGAGAGCTAAGAACTACTGCCTTCTGTATGCTAACAAAATGCGTCCAGGCATTTCTCACTTCCGACTCCCACAGCCAGTTAAAAAATTAAAATGTCAACTATTAACCTATTGGTTGCTGACATCGAACAATATGCCGGATATAAGTTAATATGGAGACTCCTGTAGTAACAGACAGCAGACATACAAGCGTGACTAGGAATTTCACCAACAGTGTTTGTCAAGGCTCCTAGGCAAAATTGTTTGTATTCTAGGCTACTCCAACATATGTTGCCCACTGCCGGGCGGTAATGACTTCTTTATGTTAAACGCGTGCTGATATCTAAGAGTGAGTCTGTCAGTTAGTCTTGCTGTTAGTTACCCTGTGCATTCCCTAACAGCTAGGAAGGGGTGGCCTTCGGTGAAGGCTAACTACAAATAAGCTGGCTTGTCTGGCGAAAAAGCAGACGCGGAGCGAAGAGCTGGAGGCGGTTCCACGACCAGCCACAGTGACTACATTCTGGCGAACGCAAGTCTCCACAACTGGGTTCATGACAGCATCGAGACGTAAGAGGCCAAAACTGGCAGCGTCTGTGAGTCAGACCATGTTCTAGTTCGCACACGCCTGTAAGTTTACCTCCTAATCACTAGAACTCCGCACTACAAGGAGTGGGCACCGAACTTCGGCCTTGCTTTGTAACCCGAGTTGAGGAAGAAAGCAGTGACATGTAGTCATCAGTGAAGTTGCCAGTCCCCGAGGCGGCTGACAGAATCTTAGGGTTCACTAGGCAGCATGTGATCACTGCATCATCATGGGAGCCTTAAATCTGTCTTGCCAGACAGTCGATGACAGCTCCACTGCGATGATCCCTTCCGCCAACCTCGGAAAAAATTGCAAAACCGACCATAAATGTCAGCAAAATCTACTAGGCTAAAGTGGCGACCACCAGTATGGAGATAGAAACCTTCCATGGCACGGCACAGACCC